CATGACATCTGGGAGCCATCACCTGAGGTTACCATCCCAGGCAACCTGTGGATCATTAATCAGAAATAATAAGCTTATGAACCTGTGGCTCTTAACAAACTAGATAGTAAGCAACAAATAATATAGAACGCATTTGTGGCTTCTGATCAAATACACTGAGCAAATAAATTTTATTTTTTAACACTGTCAGAAAAGGGCTAACTAGTGGAGACACCAACTACAAATTTTTTTCTTCCAAGAAACTATCAGAAGATTCTCAAACCTAAAAAAGAATGCCAAGTCACATACTCTTGCTGTATCTCAGGTTTGAAAAAATAATTTTAATTTTCACTAGTGAACAGTAATATAAGTTGAAATATTTATTACCCTAAGCATCCTGAAATTGTACCAAAGTTGGATGAGTAGACAAGTTAGGCCTGGTTCTACCTTGTATGTATGTACCCATAAGTACAAGGACTTAAGTCTTCAGGATAAGACCCACATGCATGCTTTCTCACTTTTATTTTTTAAGGTTTTATTTTTTGATTCATGAGAGAGGCAGAGACACCCACAGAGGGAGAAGCAGGCTTCATGCAGGGGAGTCTGATGCGGGACTCCATCCCAGGACCTTGGGATCAGGACCTGAGCCAAAGGCAGATGCTCAACCACTGGCCACCCAGGGGCCTCTCAACTGTTTTTTTTTTTTTTAATTGAATTTATTTTTTTTTAATTTTTTTATTGGAGTTCAATTTGCTAACATTTAGCATAACACCCAGTGCTCATCGTGCCAAGGGCCCCCCTCAGTGCCCATCACCCAGTCATCCCAACCCCTTGCCCACCTCCCCTTCCACTACCCCTTGCTCGTTTCCAAGAGTTAGGTGTCTCTCATGTTTTGTCAGCCTCACTGATATTTTCATTCATCCTCTCTCCTTTCCCTTTATTCCCTTTCACTAATTTTTATATTCCCCAAAGGAATGAGACCATATAATGTTTGTCCTTTTCCAGTTGACTTATTTCACTCAGCATAACACCCTCCAGTTCCATCCATGTCAAAGCAAATGGTGGGTATTTGTCGTTTCTAATGGCTGAGGAATATTCCATCGTATACATAGACCACATCTTCTTTATCCATTCATCTTTCGATGGACACCGAGGCTCCTTCCACAGTTTGGCTATTGTGGTCATTGCTGCTATAAAGCTTTCTCACTTTTAATTCCTCCTTATTCTTTCTCTTCAAACATTTCCCTCCCTTTGAGGACCTCTCTATCCATAATGTTCTTGCTACCAATTCCAAACAAGCATAATTTCTCCAAAGAGTCTCAAAGCCCCTTGGTTCCTTCTTTTTGCTAGCAAATGTTACCAATTTTACAATGCTTCCTTCTAATATAGTTTTTGTAGCTCTGGTTATGATGTGGAAAAGTGATCTCTTTTTCTGAGGACAGTATCAGAAAGGAAAGTATCAATAATGTCTCTAATATCTTCCACAAACATCTCATTTGCCTCTTTTCTTTGAACATGAATTGCTCTTTATACACTCGGGTTTGTCTCCAAATAATAGAAGTTTCTGCCAACCAAACACATTTTTTAATAATCATGTGAAACAGATTTTTGTTTTGAAACAAGCTTTCTGAGAGGTGCAAATCCTGTAGATTATGTTCTAAACAGCTGCTTGCTAGCAGAGAAGAAAAGACAAAGAAGTCAGTGGATTTCTTTCAAGGTGTCCTCTCTTTCCATTACTAAGAGCCAAGGGAAATAGAAACACATTTTAGCTTTAATCATTTCATTTTGTTGTAATTGCAAAATGTTTTATTCTTTTCACAAGGCAAGTGTGTAATAAATTATTAATTCAAATTACATATTAACATGTGCAGGACATTCTGGGGTTGGAATAGAAATAGTGATAAGTTTGAATAATTTCCTGAGTTGGGGTAAAAACATTAGGAGATTGGAAATTAAAAATAAAAATCTAGACTGTATAGCCACAATGATACATTTATTGACACATAAGCTTTATAGTTCTCAGATTTTACTCACAAGAAATAAAATTGTTGGGCAGCCCGGGTGGCTCAGTGGTTTAGCACCGCTTTCAGCCCAGGGAGTGATCCTGGAGACCCTGGATCGAATCCCACCTCAGGCTTCCTGCGTGGAGCCTGCTTCCTCCTCTGCATGTGTCTCTGCCTCTCTCTCCCTCTCTCTCTCTCTCTCTCTCTCTCTGTGTGTCTCTCATGAATAAATAAATAAAATATTAAAAAAGAAATAAAATTGTTACCATGTGACTTAAAATACAATTTATTTTATAATAATTACCATAATATTAATACTGTATATTTTAATTTACAATTCATATTAATTATAGGACTTAGTTTTGCCTCAGTAAGTTCATAATGAACATTTAGCATGCAAAATACAAGTTCTTTGGCCATGTATTCAGAAAATATAAGAATAGAAAAGAAAAGAAAATATAAGAATATCAAATTTGTTATAGATTTTGAAATATCTGTCCTGATCACAGCACTGCACATCCTTCAATGGCAGCTGCCTCTCACACTAGTAAATACTGAAGAAAGAATATGCTAGGTAAGACATTTCAGGCAGCACCCAGTAGAACACAAGGCAGTGAAGCCTAACAATTAAAAATGTGGATGCCGGGGTGTCCGGGTGGCTCAGTCAGTTAAGCATCTGCCTTCCATTCAGGTCATAATCCTAGAGTCCTGGGAGTGAGTCCCACTTTGGGCTCCCTGCTCAATGGGGAGCCTGCTTCTTCCTTTCCCTGTAACCCTTCCCCTGCTTGTGCTCCCCCTGTCCCACTCTCTCTCTCTCTCTCTCAAATGAATAAGTAAATAAATGAAACCTTTTTTTTTAATGTGGATGCCAGTGTTGGATAGATGAGAGTTGAAATTCCTGCTCTCTCATTTCCTATTTGTGTAATATTCTAGATGATATTTAACTTTTTCTAAATCTTTGTTTCTGAATACTCACAATGGGTTAATAGTAATATTTCACTAGTATTACATCATAATGTTACGTTGAGGATTAAATAAAACAGCATAGTAAGTGCTACTACAGTAGCTCAAATGCAGTAAGCACTGACTGTTAAATAATTATACTATTACAGGTTTACTATTGCTACTGCATATATGAAAATTATTTTTTAAAAATGTGTGCATTTACCTTTTCCTAAGTAGCTTAAAGGTGTATATTTTAAAGATTTTCTTTTCAGGCATCAGAGACCACTAGCTGGGAAACTTCTTCATTCATTCAAATTTCATTGTCAGTCAGTTTTAAAAACTCATCGACCCTTTCTTTTAAATGATTTCTGTGAGAATTAGTTCCTTTTCTGTCACAAACCCATCACTGTTGTCTGTGTTTTTCTCATGTCTATCAAATCAGGACTATCCAGTAGAACTTTCTGCAGTGATGGAAAGGTGCTAGATCTCTATTGTTCAAAACGCTAGCTTCTAACCACATATGGGTATTCAAATTTGAGTCAATTAAATTCAATCCAATTAAAAATTTAGTTTCTTAATGCTGCTGGTAACATTTCAAGTGCTCAAAAGTCACATGCAAACTACTTGTCTACCATTTTGGAAGGCACAGTGACAACCGGTCCTATTGTCTTCAGTTTTTCTATAATCAAATCCATTACACAGACTAGTCCTAGTTTAATATTAATAATGAAAAATTTTGATTACATTATTCCCACGCTCAAAACCTCTTTGATTAAAGGCATACTCTTAAAAATATATAATTACATGAAAAATTTTCACATTAGACGTTAGAAAATGCCTAAGTTTGAAAAGTTGTTGCCTACAGTTTTTTTTTTTTTTTGTTGTTGTTGTTATTTAAGGTTTTATTTATTTATTCATGAGAGACACAGAGAGAGACAGGCAGAGACACAGGCAGAGGGAAACATGATCCTAGGACCCCAGATTTCATCCTGAGCTGAAGGCAGATGCTCATCCACTAAGCCACCCAGGCATCCCTATTGCCTGCGTTTTGTCTTTATATTTGTATATCCATATAAAAATTGTCCTAAAGTGAAGGATATTTATATTTAATTAAAAATGATTTACATTTCATTCTCTGCATTTTCTGCCTTTCAAGTTTTTCAAATATTTGAAAATAATGTTTTTCTTCTATTAGTCATTTCATCTTCATTTCATTTGCTTTTCTTAGCAGTTGGGGTAACTTCCACAAGCCTCACTGACATAGATGGTGTCTTTTTAAATTGTGGTGTCCAGTAACAAACATAGTCCCACTGATGTGAACTGGAAAATACCAAATCTCAGGGAAACTAATTTTCCTTAGGCTTCCTCTTCAAGAGAATATCTTATGTATTTGGAAGATATACTCTCATATACAATATCAGATAGTAATGTTGAGTATTGCATATCCAAGTAAAAAGAGAGAGGTGCTAAACAGCCTTTAAAGGAATGTTGTTTCTTCTAATAAGAGAGTTAGGGTTTTGGCAAGACATACTGAATTTTGGCATCAGTGTTTAATAGGTAGGAGCTGGGGACAGTGCTCCAGGAAATTTGACTGCTCATGGGGGAAGATGCTTAGAAAGGGAAGAAGGCTGAGGGTTTTATGACTGAAGAGGGCGATGGTGAAATAATAATAATAGAAATAACAATAGCAATAAGGTGTGTTTCTTAATCATGGCTTCCAAAGTGAAGGCATAATTTTTAATCATAGGGAAATTGATTTACATTGATTAATACTGCCCATTCCCTCTCTCCCAAAACATTAGTTCTTCACACAACTGCTGTTCACTTTAGTAATGCTCATTTATGTATTTGATTAAGAAGAATTTGGGAGCCAGATCTCAAAAATATGTTGACCGGATATGAAGTAAAAATTAAAAAAAAAGTCATATAGTTACAGACACCTCAAAGCATTTGGTTTACAATCAAAAGTGCATAGCACATGGGACTGAATTTGGGGGGAAGTAATTGATAGTATGTTGATGTTGTAGCCAACATTTTGGTTGTTAAACATTCTGTTTTTCTTCTTCTTTCTAGCACAGACTGATTGGCTGTCCTCCACTTTCCCCAGAAAAACTTAAAGCAGGGTGACACCATCTCCAGCTCCAGGGGCAAATCATATTTGATGTAAGGTAATATTTTGATCTAGTTCTTTTTGTGGTGTAAGAATGACCATTTAAGTCAATTCTGACTTATTCCGGTCTTCTGGGAAAGGATTCCTCTTCCCTGAGAAGGGGACCCTAAAATAAAGGACACTAAAATAAATGTTTGTTTTCATAAATGAAGAATGTCTGGAACTGCCTAAAACTATGCCTATAATCTCTCCAGTCTTCTTTACCTGAAAACAGGTCAGGCAAAACTTGAACACTGAGGTTACAGTGTAAGAAAAAAACAAGAAGAGCTAGCAAGGAGCTCAGACCATGGGAATATCACTGAGTCATTTATCACACCTAGCCTGGAGCCACCTACTTATGGATTTCATTCTAGGTGAGATAATAGATTTTCTTTTGGTTTAAGCCAGTTTGAGCTGGGTTTTCAATTACATGAAACTAAAGATTTCCTAGTGGATTCGATCTCCACTATTTGAAGTTATAGTCACCTAAACTGCTGTCATTTTATTTTTCATATGGTTGTTGCTTAGTCACATTTCTGCAGTGCTGTGCTGGTGATGTGAATTACTTGAATATGGACACATAAAGCACATAATTTAAAACATATTCTAATTAAATACCAGCAGAAATGTAGTGCTAGCTGATGGTAATATCGAGTTCTTTATAGTAACGAGACTATGTCCCAAATCTAATTTTACAACTTTAAGGGATGGGTGGCTTTAATTGTGACCTCTAATTTGTGGGAACTTAGAATTTTTCATCTAAAGATGGAGGCACAATATGAATTCCTAATTCATGCATCCATTAAAGCATTGAGAAGAAAATTTATATTTTGTCTAGTGCAATGCCTGGGAAGAAGTTTTACAGTAAATCTATCTTACTTTATTTTTTAAAAAGTTTATTTATATAGTTGACAGAAAGAGAAAGAGCACAAGCAAAGGGAACTGCAGGCAGAGGGAGAGGGAGAAGCAGACTCCATCTTGCCAGGGAGCCTGATACGGGGCTTGATGTGGGCTCGATGTAAGGCTTGATCCCAGGGTCCTGAGATCATGACCCAAGCCCAAGGCAGATGCTTAAACAACTGAGCCACTCAGGCACCCCTTTAAAAATATATTTTAGATACTTCATCATCTTTGTTGATTTAAGCCTAGTATAATGAAACAGTTTTCTGAATTGAGGTTCTTTCATTTAATGTCTTTAATTATTTTAATCAGCTTTTTTGAATTTAAATTTGTATTAGCTTATCTTTTATGATTTCAAACACATCATTAAACTTTCCAAAAGGAGCTGGTGGGAAGAACTTACTAACAAACATATGAAGTACATTAATTATGTATCTGTCAGATGACATTCTGATATTTTGCCTTCCAACTAGTATTTTCCCAAATTCTTCCTAGGATATTAGTGAAAGAACTTTACTGAGGACACACAAAGCATTGCTGAAATCAACAAAGTTTGTCTATAAAATTCACCTAATTTGCCAGTCTAACAACTCTATCAAAAAGAAGTTATACTTTGTAAGCCCATGCTGGTTCCTAATGATCATTGCTTTTTCTCCCAAATGTTCTCAAAACATCTGTTTAATATCTTCTAGAAATTCACTAAGTCCTTCTTTGCCATGTCAAGGGGTTGACTTTTATCCTACGCACAAGGGGAGAAGGTCTGTGTTCTTATAGTTATATTTATATGTCTAATTCTACCTTAAAATTAGGGATTATGCTCATTTATATGCTCATCTAGAAACATATGAATCATAGAACTCATTTAATATTATATAAATAAAAAATGACAGTAATTAAAATATTTCAAATAGGTGAGTTAAAAAGCATTTAATTATGAAGCATTACCTTGTATGTAAGTTTGAGCAGAGATAAAGATAACTAAGGGTGAAGCTATATTTAGGGAAACTTATTAAGAGTTCATTGAAAATTTTTAGGTAAGGAGAGATGGATACCTGAATTAAATGATGGTGGGGACCTAAAAGGAAAAATGGAATGGAATGGATGGTTGGATAGATAGATAGATAGATAGATAGATAGATAGATAGATAGATAGATGATAGATAGATAATGTGTGTGTACACATGCACATATTTGCCTATCTCTACATGACTGAGTTGATCGGAAAAATGCAGAAGTCCACAATGACATCCAGGTTTTGGGCTTACCCACCTCGGTATTTTAGGGCATTTAAATTAGTGAAATCCTCCAAATGACTAATGGTGTAAGTACAATAGAAGGTTATTTCTTCTTCATAAAATGGAATTGTGTGGGACAGCTCTCTTCAACAAAGATTCAACAAGATTTTTCTCGTTTCAATTTATAACAATCAGTTTTGTCTCAAGTTTCCTTCTCGCTGAAAGAAAATTAGAACAAAAGATGGGGAATATTTTAGGCCATATTTTTAAATAGAATATATTACTTCCTCTCCTATTACAACCATTGGAACACAGTTCTCTGACTACAGCTAAAAGCAAGGAAGGCTGAAATATATGTTTTAACTGTGTTTCTAAGAGATGGAAAAATATTCCACGCTCATGGATTGGAAGAATTAATATTGTGGAAATGTCAGTGTTACCCAGGGCAATTTACACATTCAATGCAATCCCTATCAAAATACCATGGACTTTCTTCAGAGAGTTGAAACAAATAAGATTTGTGTGGAATCAGAAAAGACCCCAAATAGCCAAGGGAGTACTGAAAAAGAAAATTAGAGCCGGGGCATCACAATGCTGGATTTCAAGTTGTACTACAAAGCTGTGATCATCAAGACAGTGTGGTACTGGCACAAAAACAGACACATAGATCAATGAAACAGAATAGAGAACCCAGAAGTGGACCCTGAACTTTATGGTCAACTAATATCCAACAAAGCAGGAAAGGACAGTCTCTTCAATAAATGGTGCTGGGAAAATTGGATATCCACATGCAGAAGGATGAAACTAGACCATTCTTTTACACCATACACAAAGAAAAACTCAAAATGGATGAAAGATCTAAATGTGAGACAAGATTCCATCAGAATCCTGGAGGAGAACACAGGCAACACCCTTTTTGAACTTGGCCACAGCAACTTCTTGCAAGATACATCTATGAATGCAAGGGAAACAAAAGCAAAAATGAACTATTGGGACTTAATCAAGATTAAAAGCTTCTGCACAACAAAATAAACAGTCAACAAAACTCAAAGACAACCTACAGAATGGGAGAAGATATTAGCAAATGACGTATCAGATAAAGGGCTAGTATCCAAGATCTATAAAGAACTTATTAAACTCAACAGCAGAAAAACAAACAATCCAATCACGATACGGGCAAAAGGCATGAACAGAAATTTCACCAAATAAGACATAGACATGGCCAACGTGCACATGAGAAAATGCTCTGCATCACTTGCCATCAGGGAAATACAAATCAAAACCACAATGAGATACCACCTCACACCAGTGAGAATGGGGAAAACTAACAAGGCAGGAAACCACAAATGTTGGAGAGGATGTGGAGAAAGGAGAACCCTCTTGAACTGTTGGTGAGAATGTGAACTGGTGCAGCCATTCTGGAAAATGGTGTGGAGGGTCCTCAAAGAGTTAAAAATAGACCTGCCCTACGACCCAGCAATTGCACTACTGGGGATTTACCCCAAAGATACAGATGCAGTGAAACGCAGAGACACCTGCACCCCGATGTTTATAGCAGCCATGTCCACAATAGCCAAACTGTGAAAGGAGCCTCGGTGCCCATCGAAAGATGATGGATAAAGAAGATGTGGTCTATGTATACAATGGAATATTACTCAGCCATTAGAAACAAGAAATACCCACCATGTGCTTCAACATGGATGCAACTGGAGGGTATTATGCTGAGAAATAAGTCGATCGGAGAAGGACAAACATTATATGCTCTCATTAATTTGAAGAATATAAAAAATAGTGAAAGGGATAACAGAGGAAAGGAGAAAAAAATGAGTGGGAAATATAAGAGAAGGAGACAGAACATGAGAGACACCTAACTCTGGGAAACGAACAAGGCGTAGTGGAAAGGGAGGTGGGCTGGGGGTTGGGGTGACTGGGTGAGGGGCACTGAGGGGGGCACTTGATGGGACGAGCACTGGGTGTTATGCTATATGTTGGCAAATCGAACTCCAATAAAAAAATGCAAAAAATATTTTAACTGTGTTTAAGTAATAAGGAGAGGAAAACAAATTTAATTGAGTTCTTTTCATTAATATGATCATAAAAATGGAAGAAACATTCACCCAAGAAGATGTAATGGGGCTTTGAGTTCATTTTGTACTATAAGCCTACGATATCATTATGCATACATATACAGAGCTATCCATTAAAGGGATGAAAATACAATGCCTGAGTTCAAATAGAAGGTTTGTTTGGAGTTCCAGATTTGGAAATCATTGGTTTATGGATGACTGAAGTCACGAATTAAAGGAATTTTTTCAATAAGAGTGTAAACTGAAATTAGATGAAAAGAGATGATCGAAAGATAGAAGAAAAAAACCAATAGTTAAAAGAGTGAAAAAAAATCTGTATAGTCAGAGAACTCCTAAATGGAAAGGAAAATCCAAGAAAAAGATAAGATGGCAGCCAAGAGACACAGATAATAGATAATAGTGCCAAAAAATTAGAGTGGGCTTCAATTTCAAATACCGGGGGAGATTAGGTCAGATTGGGTTTGAAATATATTCATCGCTTTTGGCAATAATGACATATTTATACATTTTAAGAACCTAGTGTCAATGGTGTTTTCAAGGCAAGGACAGATTAAAATCTTATTAGACAAAGAAGACAGATTATAGCCAGAGGTATGAGAAAAGGGCGAACACTTTTGTCTTTGATGTTGTACTTAAAAATAAAGCATCTTAAGCAATTTACATATTGAAAAAAAGAAATTATTAAGGATGAAAATGATTTAGATGTAGGTACGACGGTATGGAATCTCAAGTATGATTATTCTTGTATAGGAAAATGGTCTTTTCCTTTAAATAGTTAGGAAAGATAAAAATCTCTA